AAAAAATAATAAAAAAAAAAAATTGCAATATTTTAAATGTCTATATGTGGATAGGAGTTCTTCGACTACAAATTGTCATCTAAAATTCAAAACAGTGAATCATCAAAGAAATTAAATTGGGCCTTTGGGTTCCACGATCTGATATAACCAATATATAACCAATGCACACCCGTTTTATAACCAAACTTCAAAATATTGTTTCAATATGTGAGTGGTTTCTTTTATATCGTTTTTCCTTCGCCTGCAAACTTATGAAAGTGATATTAGGTTTTTTTTTGCATTTCAAAATTTCCACGTTAAAGTCCTCTTAAGTCAGAGTTAAGTTTTTGGTAATAAGTTTTTTTTCTGATATACCCACATTACACCAAAAATAGATTTTTGCTTAAAAAATTCAATATTTTGTCATCTGATCAAATTTGACCCGGACTGACAACAAATCCTTATTATCGCTCAAATTAGGCTACTCAGCCAACTAAAATAAAAAAATGCCAAATTTAATATTTCATACACTTGCTATAAGATTTGGCTAGGATATCCTTCAGTATCTAAGCCAAATTTTGGTTTTTTGTTGGTTATCAGCTCACTTTTGGACCGCCTATGGTTAATGTGTTTGAAGAATAAGGAGTTGTCAACTACTTTTTAAGCATCTCTTCTTTAACCTCTACTCAACGTCGCTTTTAAGTATGAGTTTTGTATACTTTGTGTGTACACTTCATACCCAAAACTTTAACCAAAATGCATTGAGTCGATCCTTAAGAGATTGCTGTTGCTATCTAACTGCTGCCAATTTCCAATCGATTTTCAAGCACTGTTTGTTATAACTTTTGATATAACTGATTTTGTCGTAATAAACAGAGGTGGATGGACAACTCGCTTTAGACAAATTTTCTACGATCTAAGCACTTTTACACTTTTACTTGTGGTATGAAACAAAGGCCTTTCTGTTTATATTTATTCGAATAGAGTACAACTCCCCAAGTTGTTTTCTACAGATTTGACGTCATCACTGAATACAATTGTCGCTTAAAGGCATTCAATAAAAACAAAAAAAAAAAAAAAAAAAAAAAAAAAAAAAAAAAAAAAAAAAAAAAAAAAAAAAAAAAAAAAAAAAAAAAAAAAAAAAAAGGCTCGAAGGAAAGAAATGTCATTTTCTCGAGCTCTAAAACTCCTCAACCTTAAATACTTCGTACTGCAACTTCTAACAAAAATTCATTCAAAAACCTTTTTACAATGATAACTCTGTGACATTTTTGAAAAATAATTGTTTTTTTAATAGTTTTACAAATATACGCTTAAAGCAACCGGCATCATTTCCATATCATTATTTTTCGCTGCTCCTCTATAAGCGTTTATCTAAGCGCCTTGGCTCGTACTTCAATCAGAGTAGGCTTCTTGCAATTTGCAAATATTTTTCCCCTTCTTGGTGGTATATTTTCAACATAAAGTTATAAGTTATGCGAGATATTTCAATATTTTATTTCCATAAAAGTCATGTGCGACAGCAGTGGTCATCTTATTAGTTATTAAAGCTTTTTTTGGGCAGTATTTAATTAGAGGATTTTTTTGAGTAATTTTGTGGTTCAAGGTACCTAGAAAGAGGTTCGAAATTTAGGAAATTATCAATAATATTTAAAAGGTGGATTAACCTACAAATTCCATACTGATTTTGTTGCAGTCAGTAAAAGAAAAATTAAGGTTATGCTACAAGATGAAAGACTGACGAGGGTGTTTTTTAGAAGTTAGCAAATAGTTTTTGTTTATCTACGGCCAGAAACTATAAAATTAGCAATTGCTTGCATTAAGTAGTTTGTTTTTATATTTTGGTATTTGCCAACCTGATTGCAATCTGGCAACTCACTACATTATCGTAAAGCTTGACATTTTTGATAGGAACGCTTTTTGTGTTGTTTACAGCAACTTCAAATATTGATCTCCGCCAAAGAATGAAATTTAGTCACGATCATAGAGTAGCGTATGGAACAAGGACGATAGAATGAAAATGAAAAGTATTCGTTTGGAGTTATATCTGTTGAAAGAATGAAGAGTTGACAGCATCAGATTATTACCATATTTTCGGTAATTCTAGCAGAAATCCACTGATTTCAAGGTCCTAGTCGATTTACCTTACAATTTTAATTTCTACATTCCCAACCGTATGGCATTCTTTGCCTGGCTTTCTCTATTCGTTCAGACTATTCTGGTAACCACTAAAGAAGCCATTGTGTTCTTAATTCTACGATCAACACTGCAAATGCATTGCAGTAGCTACAAACGTTGCGCACTTATTTAATTAATTAAGAAAACAAGTTGCTCGTAAACAAGGGAAAATTAAAAAATTCTTAAAGTTTTTCTTAATCAAATTTGTTTGATCCCCGGCATTAATATGCGCTTTTATTTTTGTATTTTTAATTTCAATTTCTGAATTTTTTACTTTCAAACACAGTGGAATTGGGTGTGTGTATGTGTATTGCATTCTGTTCGGGTGTTTTAGCCGGCGAGTAAAGCGGCCGCTCCCCGCCTTTAGTCGGCGGTAACGATTACAACTTATTTGAATTATTCTGAATTATTCATAAGTTGGCAAAAAGCTTGAAAACAAATATTTTGAGTGTTTTACATATTTCTTCTACTTGCGCAAACTTTCTGTTTCTTCGTCGAGGTTGGGCCATAGAAAAAATTGAGCGGAACGTAAAAAGAAAGTTAGGAGATAATACGAAGCGTGGGCGTCAACTGAAAACAAAAGGGAAAAGGCGTATCTTAAAAATTTGATTGAAAGCGCATTAGTATGACGTCACTGCGAATTGTGGCTTCTGTTTTCGCTTTCTTCACTTTAAGTCCTTGCGTAGTTTATAAATACATTTTTAGGAATTTTTATTCTAATTTCAAAATAGATTTATAAGCTGAGTGCAAACTTTCTCAGTAGTTCTATTAAATTTACCTTTTAGAACAGGTGGCAACACTGTCCCTACTCTAAACCTTCTTAAAAAATTTAAAAATATTAACGTATAATTTTGTATTTGTGAACTTCTATACTGTTGGCAAACTCTTTCAGTAATTTTATTAAATCCAACATTTTGAAATGGTGGCAACTCTACCCTTGCCCTTATTTGCTTTGGTTTTGCTTGGAGTTTTCATACAGTTGGTTATCGGAACAGTGATTCTAAAGCAAAGCTAAAATTTGTCCACATGCACCTCATAATTAAAATCCTTTGATCTAATTGATTATGAAATGCGAAAACTGTTCGACAAGTTAACAATTAAATAACAAGGGACGAGCCAAAAGGGTACTATAAGTGATCACTAAAACGYAGCATATCCAATTGCGCCTAGTACTAAATAGGCTAAACTCTCTATTCGGAAGCTGTCCTGTTTTGAAAATTACTTCAATTTTGAAATCTCCCCATAACTGGAATTTACTTCTATAGAATATTCAAATCGAAACGCTTACCTGAAAGAAGCCTTAAAATAAATCTGATAACCTACATTCTGCTTACCAAATGTTTAAAGGTTCTCCAACTTTCCAGTTATTTTACCACTTTTTTAATTCAACTCATCTCTCTCTATTCGGTCGAAAATTATCCACTACTCAATGCTGCGTCTCAAGATGGGTGATGGTTATGGGTAAAGTACGTTCATTTGGCTGAACAAAATTGNCTCTATTCGGTCGAAAATTATCCACTACTCAATGCTGCGTCTCAAGATGGGTGATGGTTATGGGTAAAGTACGTTCATTTGGCTGAACAAAATTGACATGACAACCTGACGCGACTCGCGCGAGATCTGTCAAAAAAAGGCTATTGAAGAAAAGTACCTCCACATGGACCCTTTACCAAATCAAAATATAATTTACAATGATTTTCCTTTGTTCTTTTATCTTCACACATTTATTCTCAGAAATTTCACTTCTTGAAACTTTTTCAGAGAATTAATTATTCCATAAAATATCATAAAACGCTACATGAATGACAAACATCCCTGTTTCAAAAAAATGCATAGCTATATACACCACTTCGTGGAATTCACCACGCGCTCGCGTCATCAACTCGAACGACAAGTAGCCACCACATAACGGTTGTTGCTATGGTCACGGCCGTGTGGTCGCACAAAAGTTTGTTTTGCTGCACCGCCGCACACGCCCCGCCAACGCCGGCGCCCTCCTGCAGCACTGCTGGYCGATTGTTTACCTGCCAGGAATGTGTTATTAGCCGCATCGTTTCGTTAGTAACTTTTGACGTTTCACGTTTTCGYGCATGAAGCTTTTGTTGCAGTCAGATTGTGAATTACTTTTCCGAATAATAAACTAAACTAATTTCGTTGGCTTTTATTATTGTTCGCCAACAAAAGCTTTTGTTTTTCTGGAATTGGTGTTGCTTGCGCAACATTGCGGCGAAAGAGGTGAGAAAAAATAAAAACAAAAAAAAAATTGCTCGCAACAACAATTAAGCGCCTGTGATAAGCGCAATTGTTAACAGAATGTACATACTTATATACATTTGTGTGTATATATGTGTATGTGTGTCTGAGTGCGTTTACTTGTGTCTTTTAAAAAATTAATGMGAAAGTAAAAACAAGTTGAACAAATATTATTCGCAACAAAATACAGTTAAATTGCAGCGTTGCATTTCGGTGTGTAAATATAATTGACAACATAATTTTTTAAGTTAACACTTTTTAGTGAAGAGATAAGTAAGTAAATAATTGCAATAGTTTGAGGGCGTCCTTCACACAACATAAGCAAGTTGAGACCCTGCAGGAAAATGTGACGGCTTGTAATTTGGTTTGGTTGCACTTCAACATGCTTGTTTGGTTCACCTTTTCCAGCAGGGCATTTACTGATAATGAACATATGTTCGTGATAATGTATGTGCTGCAAATATTTGMCATATTCACAGGGTGGTTACTTGTGGTAATTTAAAGCAACTTCGGTTGCACTGAAGCTATAATACCCTTCACATATACAAAAGTTTCGTTACAAGAACATTCATGATCGGCCAGGCCTTTCTTCACCCAAGGAGTGGAGGTATTCCTCTTCCTCTCCTTCTCCTGGCGGGTACTGCTGGAGTGTTTTCATAAATTCGGATCATGTCGTCCATAGTTAATGTCGTTCCATTGACTGCGGTATTCGCTGCTGCCAAGGTGCAAAGAACATTCTCTCGAAAACTCGTAACGCCGAGACAAGAATCACATTATAGTTAAAGGTTAGTCTTTTCCATTCCAGCTAGTTCGCCTTTTCTTCATCTGTTTCTTGACCCTTGTTAGATGGGTTGGTCCCAAAGAAGAATTTTACAGGAAGTCAAGGTTCCAATTCTTCGTACGTTGGTATCCGAGAAGATTACTAAAATTACCGTTCATTGGAAAACGAGTGGTYAAAAGTTTTACATCTAGATAATCGGGAAGGATAGGGTTGGCTGTAACAGCAAACTTTATGTATCTGGTATGTTGTTGGTAAAATTGGTCTTTGATTTCGTCTTGTCATCTTCATATTATGTTGTCAAATAACTCCCTTCCGCTTTTTTGCTCTTTATTCAATGCTTTATAAAAAGWGTTACWGTGATCGGATTTAGTTCAAATATGCGCCGTTTTATTCGATAACTTATTTCCATCTTGACGGCAACTTCATTAAACCCCCCTCGYAGAAATCCCCTTCTTAATTGCTTTTCACAAGCCTCTTTTGCGTTCAACTTTACATCAACAAGGGCATTCGCCATGGACAGGAACAGGTGGTAATCACTTGGCGCTATGTCCGTTACATATGGTGGATGCGACTAAACCTCCCATTCGAGCTCCCGTAGTCAGACGGACGGACTAACGAGTCATCAACGAAATGTGTGGTCTGGCGTTGTCTTGGTGGAAAATCATACCATTTTTGTTGGCCAATTCTGGACGTTTCTGGTCTATCGCCAGCTTCAAGCGGTCCAGTTGTTGGCAGTAGATGGTAGAATTAAGCATCTGGCCATATGGGAGCAGCTCAAAGTGGATTATTCCTTTCCAATCSCACTAAAAACACAGCAAACTCTTCCTGGCCGTCAGTTCTGGTTTGGCCACTAACACGATGGTTTCCATGATTTGATCGGTATTCGTCGTCACTGGTCTTCCGCTGGCTGAATCGTCGAAAACATTCGTCCGCAGTTCGGAGTGATAGAGTACCAGCCCTCAAAACAACATTAATCCTGCCGATTTGACTTTAATGAAGGACATCTTTAAAATAKCGCGAATTTCCGCGTTATTGAACTCCATGTTTGCACATCCATAACTGTTGAACGCAATATCCAAAATAATCACGCATAGTGTTATTTTGTAAGTTATGACAAGACCTTTCCAAKTTGTATAATATTGCCATATACGAGCTCTGTAGCGCCTTATACATAKCCGCGAAATTCAAAAGCCAAAAAGGCAGAAGGGAGATATTTGTCAACCTAATACTAAATGTATGTATGTCTTATCTTCATTGTAGAGCTACCGAAAATGGACTCCTGTTAAGGGTTTTATATCATCTAGCTCTAAATATTAGTTGTATCTACCTTGACTAAGGGTACGAGTATCTTAAAAGATTCTTTCTTTTGGTTTGAATTTATAGGTAAATTAATCACATTACATTTTATTGAATTACTTTGACAGAATAATATAAATTCCAACAAATCCGGATTACAAAACTTGCGAAAAGCTTTTTTGAATATTATGAACCTAACCTCAAAAATTTTCAGAGCGAAATGTTAGGTTTCACAGAAGCAAATTTCTGATCAACTAATAAGCGACAGTTTTTGCAACAAAATCCTAGTACTATTTTAAGTTGTAAAGCGGTAAGATTTTAAAAATGTAGTACTTCAAAATTACCATAGAACACCCTTTAAATACGCGAGTGCGCTTGAAGGCCGGCTTGTTCAAGCGCTTAAATTGTTGCGTAATCATCCTTACATAAAAGCGACTATTGTTCTGACTGTTATTGTTTTTGTTTTATTTTTCACCTCCTGGATTTGTTAAAATGAATTAATTACCATTCCACAGTTGATAAAAGAGCGCAATATGCCGCCTGTGTAGCACGGCCACCGTGCGGCTTCACTGATAAACCTATTAATTACTCGCGCGCATTCCCACACACACAAAAGCACACATTCGCGCGCAAAGACAATTACTTCACATGCAAAAATATTTCATAATTATTTAATTAAAAAGCGTTTATTTATCTACGACACAGGAACGCCAACACAAACTTCCTTTTAATTATGTCCAATATCGGCAATGGTATTTCATTTTTGCGGGAATTATATTTCACACTCACACACACACACATGCACCCACATACCAATACATGCATAGTTAAATGTTTATATTCAGTAAATTTAATTTCATCATCAGCTGGCAGGTACACTCTCAAAGGAGCAATCTCGAATTACCAGAAGTCTGCTCCTCTGCACTCCCAACTGTGACATTTCTTACCACTGTGAATCAAAGCATTTTTTGACAAATAAAAATTATATGTAAAAAATTAAATTTTTTTTTTTTAAGTTTAAAAGCTTTAATGCGAAAGCGAATTGCTTTAAACTCAACTTGAATTATTGTTCTTTAATTTTAAAAAAATTCTAAAGCGATTATCAGCAATCGTTTCCAATGTTATTTTCAGTGTTTGCTTTGACAGCAGGTTTGACAGCTATTTCTCTAGCAAATTCTATASATTTAAAAAGTGTYCMTATATGTACATTAATTGCTGATCGAGTGGCATTTTCATACGAACTAAAAACAGAGAAAGGTTTCATTATTCCATCAACCGGCTCTAASAAGTTATTTTTCCCAGTGCAATTAAGACAGTTGGAATCTTTTTCAAATATAATTCTGACTAAAAGTTTTAATTTTTTTTTTGGTTTGACTCAGACTGATCTCTTTAAACTGCGTCCCAAAGTCGAAATGATAAAATTTTATTTTCAGATTGGTACAAACTTCTTCTATTTTCTTGTGAAGCTTGATGTCCCTATGTCAACTAGTGTCTGTTCGGTAGCTAATTGTTTACGACGCACTTCTTCCGATAAAAAAAAAATTATAAAAAAAAAAAATATTTTGCATAAGATTTTGTGTTTCCAATGGTTAGGGAGCCACAAAAAAGTGTTTTGGGTAGTTAACTTTACAAAGGATAAAGTGAAAGTCGTGAAATCATCCTAAATTTCCTTTTTACAATCATCTATCCACATGGGTTTTCTCGCGCAAGAAAAGTCCTACTTTCTATAATATTTTTTACATAGAAACGAAATGTTTTATTCAAACTTTTTATTATTTCAAAGTTATATACAAATATATTTTACAAAGATTTAATGAAGTAGTTAACATACTGTCCTTATGATGTCATTCCCAGCAGTTCCTCGGAAAAACAGTGCCTTCGTGTTGACAGCACAACTTCTTACAGCATCATGAGAAGTAAAAAAAAAATTATAACTTATTTTAATAAAGACCATAAACTAGGTATTGAAGAAAGAAAAAACGAAATTAGGTAAAAATGTATTTTTGACAGACGGTTTTCTAAAGAAAAAGAAAAGGAAAGTTTCATGGAAGTCTTTTATCTTTTTTAAGTTAATTGCACAATACCATCCTTTGTTCAAGACCATGTAAACTATATCAATATCTATTATATCTAAGACGTGTGCAAAATCTCATTTCTGTTGGATATTCCAAGTGTAGCCAGGTCTTTCTCCACCTGGTATTTCCAACGAAGTGGATGTCTTCCTCTTCCTATGTTTTCCCCTGCGAGTACTGCGTCGCATACTATATCTATCCGCCGTTGCCAAAACGCAAAGGATCAAAAATCTACCTTTCTCTCGAAAACTCGTAACTCCAACTTATCAGATATTGTCATCGTTGGCCTCTGCACCTTACAGCAGAAGAGGGATGATGAGTGACTTGTAGAGTTTTGTCTTTGTTTGTCGAAAGAGGGCTTTACTTTTCAATTGATTACATACTCAGCCCAAATGGGCACCTGTTGGCAAGAGTTATTCTGCATTGGGATTTCGAGGCTAATGTTGTTGTTGGTCTTAATACTTATTCCTTAAGATAGACTAACCAACGGATACACGGACGGATGGACAGACAGATAGACGGACATGGTCAAATCGACTCAGCTCGTCATATTGGTAACTTATATACTATATACATACATTTTACAGAGATTGAACGTTTATTTGTGAGTTAGTATACTMTCTGCAGGGTAAGAAAAAAAGATTTTTCAGCTAACAATAAAGAGGTAATATATGAAATATACTAAAGCTRTCTTCAGTTGGCCATTTCTCTGCTCAAATTCCATGTAAAAGCAACAATAAAGTTAGATAGAGATTTAGTTCGTACAAGAGAGTATASGGATAACTCACTAAGCGCTGGTCGGCAACTGCATAAATCAGCGTCAATCAGGTGACGAGCGACCGTACGTTTCAAACTGTTTTCAAATATAACCGGTTTGTTAATTTAAAAACAAAAAGCCATTCGAAGGAGAAATGGCATTGTAAGACAAAAAAAGTTGCAAATGTTTCGTCTGATACTGTAGATCAGATTTAAATTTAGAGCATTGTGTATGGTTCAAATTTGAATTGAAAACTTAATTTTTTTCTTGTATTTTTGAAACATAAGATTAAAAATTAATTTTAGCAATTTATAGAAAACCAAAACAAAGGGTTTTTAAAGCTTCACAAGTTATTAAGATAAATAAAGGGTTGCACCATGAGTGCTGCCCTGTTTTTGGAGTATCTGGTAACGCTTGACGCATCAAAAGCAACCTACATATAATATTAAAAGCAAATATTTTGGTCCGTGCAAAGTCTTTTCAAATTCTAGAAAATTTCAGTTTCTCAAAACATAACTCACTTCGATTGCTCAAGCCCATCTTTGCACAAATTTATTCATTATTGCATCACATGAAAATGTTGATGAATTAATTTTCGAAATCATTTTGAGATTTGTGATTAATGTAGAGTGTAATTTGCTTTTAAAAATTTAATAAGCAATTACTGTCATCATTCTGAAACATTAGATTCCAATTAGAGAATTCCAATATGCGCCGGGATTTTACAATTTCAACATGTTTAGTGATATTTGAATGCTTTCGGTGTGCAGCGATTTAAATAATTATTAATTATGAACACGACTGTGTATTTGTCAGGTTTCAGTTTGCGGTAAACACATAATTAAAAATAAAACAACAACAACAAAATCATAAATGCAAACCATCAGTTTATCTTTGATTAACAAATTTACGAGCGAAATGTGGAAAAGAAATTTTCGCTAACTAAATTGTGGATAAAATTTAAAGCRTTTACAAGGCTATATATAAATAGTAGTAGAACGAAAAAAAAAAATCCATATATTTTTTAACAGTTTTCTGCACATAATAGGTCTTCATATCAG